CGCAACAGGAAGGCAAACGTTTAAGCTAATGACCTTTAATGCAAACCTCCATTGTGCGCGGAGAGTGTCGAGTCTGCAATGAGAATTAACGCACAAAATATGGTCAAAAAACAGAAAGAAAAAAAGGATTATGAAGAAAAGTTGAGATTAAAGAGTAAAGAAAGAACAGATATATATATATATATATATATATATATATATATATATATATATATATATATATATATTCAATATAACTCCTTGTAAATATCTATTTTCTAATTTGATACAAATACACAAAATCTTTTTTAAAATTTTTAATCAATAATTTTCTATCAATATTTTAATAGCTGCTATATTATTGCAACATATACACTGAACTGTATTTCCACGTGAAATGATTTCACTTTGACTTTTAAACATAAAAATTTTTCAATTCAATAACAATAGAAACTTTAAAATTTAATCAAAGTTTAGCAAAGATTGATTAGAGTGTATATTTCTCGTAGTACCAGTTTCTCGTTTACGTCGTAATGAAATTATTATAGTCCAATTTAAAATACTGTTCGAAACACGAACGACCAAACTCTCATCACTGGCTTTGAATTTAATCAACGCTACCAGCGAGAAGCAGGAAGATTACTTGGTAACAACTACCTCAAAATAGTGTGATTGTTCTTGTATTAATTTGTTCACGAGTTAACGGATCTTACGTTATTGTAAACGCGATCAAAAACCTTGCTAATAACAAAGCTTTAACGACTTAACAATTAAGTATGTAGAACTAAATTTAAAAGACATAAATGTTAAAATTAATAATTATTACTATATAATAGTAATAATAAATCTTTATTTATATAAATTTATATAAATTTTTATTTATATAAATTATTTATTATGATAAGTAAATAATAAATTTTTCTTTTAAAAGATCATTTCGATATCATTTACATTATATAAATCAATAATAAATTTATGTTGCATCTATGTTTCATATATGAAAAATGAAGTAATCTTACTAAACATTCTATTTATGCATCGAGACAAAAATATATATTTTGATATAAATCGAAGTTTTCACTTTGAAAATAGAGGGAAATAAGATCAGATCAAATATAAATAGCATTTTTTATTAAAGTTAAGCGGAAACATAAAAATCAATCTTAATTCGTTAAAAATCAATGTCTATCATTCCAACGAACGAGACGATGCGAGGAGATCCGCAAGGCATCGCAGAAGAAAGATCTCGCTTTTCATCTCTTCCAGACCGACTGAATTACGAGAAAAGCTTTTCGACGTCGTTCTTACAAGCGGCTTTTTAATTAATCTCTGCCCCCTCGAACACGAGTATCATTCAGAACTCTAGCGCCACTCAGCGTAGACCAATGAGGGTTCTACGGAATCCTCGAGAAAATTATCCATCCTTTGCGAGACAAACCATTTTTATTGGTACGATTTTTAGTTTTCTTTTGCTTCCTTTGTTTCACGAATAATCTCAAACAAATCAGTCGAAATATTAATATTTTAAATATTAATATCTTAAAGCTTGAGCATATCAAAATACAAATAATTATTTTAATGTATCTTTGCATTAAACAGTTTTATCTAGAAAAAAATGAAACAACAAGAATTTATGAACAAGTTACATTCCATGGCCTTGCCAAGAAAAAGCGCAGTTCGCGAATGTTTGCTAACAGAATGATCTCTTATCAAAGAGCTGTGATAATGAGAACGATATAGTGCATTCAGCGGCGAAATACAACGCTCAACCTAAGCGTTGGTTTCTGTGAAACGCTTGATGCATTCTCAAAATATATATTTCGAGAAGAAGATCACTTTAAAATAATATTATTAAAATATTTTCTAAAAAGATTTATTATTTACAAGTCAATCATTTTCAATTAATTATTCCAACTTATTGTTATTCATTTTTGAATATTGCAAACTATTTATATATCATTCATTTACGCAATTTTAATTATGCAGAAACAGAAAGAGGTGAAAGAAACGGAGTATTGTGCGCTTGACATTTTGCCGGCTCAGTATTTTCTGCAAGCCGGCGCCGCTGACATTCGATGCATTTATCTTCGTCACAGCGCTCAAGAAACAATATTTACCGAGCCGCGAGATAAAGAGCCGCGGCAGACTGCAATAATAAACTATCGCGCCGATGTAATGCTTAGCGTATCGAGTATTCGACGAAATGATAATATTCGGGTCGTTCAACCGCTTCGCGCGCACCTCGGAGAGACAGAAGAAACTCACGAAGCTGCGGAGGTTACGTAAAAAATAAATTGAAATTGCGCGCACGAGGCCCGTTTCCCCCGCAACGTTACGTAAAAAAATATTTTAATTAGCTGGACAATCAAAAAAATCGATAAATAGTCATGAATTTATGACTTAAAATTATAATGTATATTTATTAAGGAAAAAAAAGTGAAATAAAATACGCGCGCGCATGCCGTAAATGTCGACGTTGTTAGCTGGAAACTTTGAATACGTGAGACATCGTGTTATTAGTTTACAAACGTTGATCGCTCTTGTTACGTGCAAAGGTGAATAAAACCACAACGAGACAAAGTATAAACGAACACTAGAGAGCGGTCGAGTCGGGAACCACTCCTAGTTTTCAGTGTCTATATAAGCCACGTGTCGAGTTACTATTATTGCATCGCGGCACGCCACTTTCCCATTTCCGCTGCTCCTCCTGTCCGATTTATCGTTGAACATAATCGTGGGGTCGTTCACACACAAAATTCGCAACGGTTTGTCGCAATTTACGCACGCCTCCGCTCTCGCCCTCTCTCTCTCTCTCTCTCTTTCTCTCTCCTAAAGAGCTTTCATATTATTTTTACAAATTTTCTCTGTAAACGCACGTATTATCGATGACAAAATTCGCAATTGAAGCGAAACAGCAACACCCATGAGAGTTCGAGACGTCGACGATAGAAGTGCGAAGAACATTTGGAAGATTCTTTTTTTTTCTCCCCTAGCCTCAACAGCGACGGAGGGATTATAACGGAGAAGTTATCGCCATGACTTCCAATTCACGGCGGCAATCCCCGAATCTTAAGTGACTCCAGGGAACGCCATGGTTGCGCATCGGTATTCACCGCGTAAAAGGCAAACCTTTGCATTTCGCAATTCGCATCACACCGTTTTCGCATCGCGCAGCGCAGAAAGGGGTAAGCCACCCTCGATACCAGAGAATTACGCGCGCGCACGGACGAGAGAGAGAGAGAGAGAGAGAGAGAGAGAGAAGAGAGAGAGAGAGAGAGAGAGAGAGCGTGAGGCGATCGTTGCAGGGACGCGGTTGCCATGGGAGGATTCGGAGGGTGTTTCGAGGGCTTCTAGCGGTTTACAATGGTGCCCTGGTTCCTCCAGTCCCCCCTCTTCCCCCTCTCCATCCTCTCCGCCGTTGCACGGCGATACGTGCATACACGCACGTACGAGGCACGTTCTCGCGCGCGCGCACGCCGAGATCGATCTCCCTCGAGTTACCTAACGGCTCTCGTTAGGCCGGCCGGCCGGCCGGCGAAGCTGAGAAAACCGGTATTATTGAAAAACTGGAACCAACAGCCGTCGCCGGTTCGTCGGCGGAACACGCTCGAGAACGGAGAGCCTTATTGCGCAACATTCGCCGGAGTATGGCACAAAAATAGTGCACGCGCACTAGTCATTTTTCTAGTGCTGCGACGTAAGGCGTAAAGGAATGTAAAACGCATTAAGTAATGGTAATTACCTACGATATTTTGATATTACCGACGAGACAGCAGAGAATTATTAAATATCCCGTGCAAACGAAATTATTCCTAATAATAATAATAATAATAATCATACATTTGTTTGTACATTTAGATAGATATTCTGATATTGCTACATATGCCACGGGAGACATTTTGCTGCCGGCTATAAACGTGAACTATATAATATATATAATATCGAATCGTAATAAAGCGCACCATCCCGTAAGATGGACAAAAAAATATCGCAAGGTCTAATAGCTAGGACAATTTTATTGAACGCGCCGCGACATAAGAAAGTCGCAAAAAAGTAACCGCCTTTGTTTCTTTTCTACGTCGATAATAGCAGTAATAATGTCGAATAATAACGTAACGAATGTAACAACCGGCAACGCAAGCGTGTTTGTGCCAGGAACACATCGTCTCGCGTTTAGAGAACGCTAATTAGCTGCGTCGTTAACTTCTTCAGACTCGTGCGCTCTGGCAGGTTTCCTAACGAAACTACAGGGTGACTCTATCAAGCCAAGTCATTTGGAACCCTGCAGAAGAGCGTACTCTAGTACAGAAGGGAAAACCTACTAGCTGCTTTACCAGTTATCCTTTCTTTCTCCATTCCCGCAAACAAGCGCCGAAATGGCAGGTAATTTGGAGGTCGAGGCCAAGTCCTAGGTCAAATTTTGTTAGGTATTACGAAATGGGGGTTGAAAACGTGCATCATTTATGGAACCTCCCTTCTCATAAAGGTTACTTTGTGCTACGTAATAGATCCAAAGCAGATGCAGAGCACTTTATCGATGCAAAACATTAAAAGCTCGCTCATTCATCGTTGATGATACCGAGATTATGAGCTATGGTTATAAATTGAAATGATTATCTCATTTATAATCGTTGCTATATAATTCTCTATAAATTCATTTAAATAATCTATCATATTCGTTAATAATGTGTTTCATAATGCGAAAATCTATACAATCGCAATTATAATATTTCAATTAATTAATTAATTAAAGTACAACACATATTTCATAATCCAACAAATCTAAGAATATATTTATATTCTGCATCAACGTATCTAAAGATAATGCTTTCTTCAAAGTTTGTCTCATAAATGCAATATTCATGAACCAACTATAACGTTCATGGTTGCACTTTTTGGACAGAATTTCACGGATTTCCTATTAATTTCGAAATAACAATTTGTTTATATATATATATATATATATATAAATTTATATATATAAATAATATATATATGTATAAAATACTATCTCTTTTTTCTCTTTGTCTCCTTTTTCCTCTTCCCCTTCCTCCTTCTCTTGCGATAAAAATACTCAAGGAAAACAATTAAACAAGGTCATCTGCTAACTAAGCAGCAGCGTAAACAGATAACTTTGGTAATCCGAATCAAGTTAGCCTATGTTAACGATATTCTCCTTCCGGATCATAGTGCTACAGTGATACAGGTGATGCAGGTGGATAAGTCAATTGACCTAGGATTGACGCTAATTGACGTTGGTGACAAACGACTTTGTACGATAAGTAGCAGGTCAAGGGAAAAGCATAAGAGAGTAAAAGTATATTCTTTAATGTTGGCATGATATATAGACATACATGCATACATATATACGTGCATGCGTGCGTATGTGCGCGCGCAAAGACACATGCACCCTACACGAACTGCCCCGGTATTGATTTCCCTGCGTATTTGGGGTAGGACGACAGTGTTACAGCACGGGTGCGAAAGGATTCGCCGGGGCGTAGGCTTATATGCCTGATTTACGTGCGTGGAAAGGATGACCTCTCTCTCGGCCGAGATTAATTTAACGAATTCCTATGACGAGATTAAACCTAGTTGCTAATATTAGTTTAATCCTCTATAACCGGCTATTTAAAAAAAACGATATAAATCGATAATGTATATATATATATATATATATATATAGCAAGAAGACGCATATAATTAAAGTTAAATCAAACATGCTAAATTATTACACTCCATTGTTGCGTCCTAGAAAATAATTATTTTTCTTTCTTTCGCTTCGAAGTTAATTAAAAATTAACTTTTGCTCCGATCGCTATGTTGCGTGATACGTTTCGAGTGTCGTAATCGTCAACAATACAATACACTTAGCGAACGATCCGTTTCAAAGAAACGCTGACAAACAATTGTAATTCAAACCTGAAATTTACCGATATGACAAAATGTAAGCAATTAATTACTCCTTACCTTAATATGATAGGAATTAAGCTTGGTGCGGGGCAGACTGTTGAAAGCGCTGAAATCCAGACGACGCGAGAAAATGCCATTGGCGCCGCAGCTTTGTCTGCAAGCAAATAAAATGAAGTTTTAGTAGACATTAAACAAACACAACGATAAAAAGACCGTGGGCTATTATCCATATTGTGCGCGTTCCGATATATTTACGTTTATTTTCGCTATGGAAATGGATGCCTGGTAGAGAACGTGATCATTGATATCAAACGACATGGGTCGTAAACGAATCCTTTAAAGGGCCTCCAATGGAAAAGTTCGTATTCCAGTAAGTTTTTCGTGATTCATAATAACTTCGGACCCTCTCGCTTGACAACTCTCCCTCCAAGCACGCTAGTGTCGTACGACCCTCATCGTGCAAGGCTCATGCTTCCTTTATGCATGTGCGACGATGAAAGCGAACACGAAATATCTCTAAGCACGTATGTGTGCCGCTTTTTACACAGCCCTATATCAATCGTCATAGAAAAAGCCAGAAGTTTCCCCGAGCAAAGGGGCACAATTTACCATCGATAAAAACGCGTTATAGATCGATTACATCATGGAATAAACTTTATCAAGCAAAATGTTGATTTAGTTAAAAAAAAAAATCTAAGTGCTTTCTAAACTCGCGATTATTCTTACGCAAACGAAAATGTAATTTTTACGAAAAGTTAAAACCAATATGAGCACAAAATTAATATCTTTCATTCGTCTTCGTCTAATTCTTTAAGTTGTAATCGCAAAAAACGATAACGCAACATCCTACAACAATGTGAATTTAATTACAGCTAATAAAGCGAGAAAGAGAGAGCAATGCTCGATCAAATGGGAAGATCAATCATTTTCTACAATCGTATATTTCTAGCATCTACAAGCGAGCACATCGGCTTCTTCGTTGCGCAACGCTCAACATAAACACGAATCAATGACGGCCTCTCGGGCTCGGGTTCGGGCTCGGTAGAAGAGATTCCGCTACAGAGGCACGGCAAATTAAAACGATAAAATAGAACGACAACAGGCGCCAGTGAGGTGGCCTCTCCAGGATACTCGGCGCGAGCGGGAATTACAACGACGACCATAATGGTCGCTTGGATCGGGCTGTGCAACATAGTTGCGTCACCAGGAAGACGAACGAGCGAGCGAACGCGCGAGTGATAGGCGTCAACATAGTGACGAATAGCGAGGTGGGGATCAGTTATGACCTTGGCCTCCACTCTAGCGAGACCGTTCCTCTATCGCCGCTTGTATTGGCTGTTTGGCAATGTCAGCCGAGGGTCACGAAAATATTGCGCACCGTCGAAGGCAGGCAACGGGTTTTCGGGAGGGGGAAACGTTCATTTGCATTATGCAACGTGCATTCGATTTGTAAGTCTGTTATCAGAGAACTGCACCGTCGTCACCTATCGTGACCGGTTTAATTTCCGAATGCGGGCTACGTAAATTCTCGTAAACAGAGGTTGATGGAACGTAATGAGTAATGAGTCGGTTACTGATTCCGTGGCGATTCGAAGCGTCAGTCGTCATTCCCTCGGCTTTGTTGACTCTGCCAGCCTCGAAGTTCACTGTAGTTGTAGCCTTGAATCAGGCGAACACAGATGGAGATTTAAGAAAAAGTTTGCATCTCTACGCGAGATTGTATACGTTAGAGATAAATTCACATTTGACAGAATTTGACGACAAAGTAGTAACAATAATTCCCACGCGTCATAAAGATTAGAAGATTATATTCCGAGATGTGATTACGATCTGAAAATCATACGCTACGAAAATATAAAGTTCATTCTTCGTCGCTCACGTAACTGGCGCCAGACGTTATAATTCTACCAATCGTCACAACAAATCAACAAATAGCGTGTTTGAGTCCAAGTATAGTCTATTTTTATATCGCGCGCGTACATCTTGTAATATATCTATAATATTATTACATTTCCCAAACGTCGTTATCTGATTATCGGATCTCGCATCGATCGACGCGCTTTTTCGATCGCGTTCGATCGTCACGGTATTTAAAAGCTCTTCATTAGATCCGATGATAGAATTTACATCGGTTGGTCGCACGATGACTAACGTGCCGTTATGTAACGTGTTGTTATGAAAACTTGGTTGCGACAGGCGCGTAGCTACGCGCGCGGGCGCACGGAGAGTTTCGCACGAAGTAAATAGCGCTGTTTACACCGCATTATCGAGATTAGTCGACAATGTAGAGGAGAGCCGATAAAACGCAAGGAACGCGCCGCGCCGCACCGCACCGCGCCGCGCCGCGCCGATCGCGGCGCCGCTCCTTTTTTGCGCCGCGTCGGCCGCGCTTGGCAACTCGCAACACGTTGAAAATACACGTGAGTTAGTCGCGCGAGTCGCCCGCGGAAATTATTATCAACGCGTATCACGTCATCGACATGCCGTGCGTCTATCTAAAACCGAAGAGCTGAACAGAAATAATAGCAAAAATTATCGAAGCCTCTCGGAAGTCTGAATTCTTTGTTTTTGCACGAAAGCTTTTACTTTTGCGAAATACTTGGCGAGCCGTAGATTACACATACCGCACGAACGTTGAGCGTTACGTGGGACGAACTAAACAATCCTTAAAAAGATACGCGTATAGGAGGCACGAACCGGTCAACTTTCGTTTTCGGCATTCCTCGTATTCGACCGTGAGGCACATGCTAACAAAAGCAAATGAAGGGGAAAAAAATTGAAGAAAGGAGAAAGAGAGAGAAAGAGAGAGAGAGAGAGAGAGAGAGAGAGAGAGAG